GAAATTTCGAATTAGTAATTCGTTATTTCTGATTACTAACTCGAAATAACGAATTACTAATCCGAAATAAATTTCGGATTAGTGATCCGAAATAACGAATTACTAATTCGAAATTTCGGATTAGTAATCCGAAATAACGAATTACTAATTCGAAATAACGAATTACTTAATTCGAAATTTCGTATTAGTAATCCGAAATAACGGATTACGAATTCGAAATAACGAATTACTAATTCGAAATTTCGGATTAGTAATCCGAAATAACGAGTTACTAATTCGAAATAACGGATTACTAATCCGTTATTTCGGATTACTAATCCGAAATTTCGGATTAAATTTTTATGATTTTATATATTTAAGTGGCACGAATAGGCTTTCATAAAATGTTGCAAAATTCGTGAAAAATAAATTTAACAGTGACAATTGTCTGCTATTTAACCTGCTTGTATCTGTCTCGGCATAATTGAAATAAACGAAACGATGTCTGCGAGACAAGAGTCTGTCACTACTTCTTTTACTCATGGAAACAACTTTGAGATGGAATATCAGGAGAACATGATGTCTCAACGATGTAAGCTAATGTATGACAAATGGAGACGCACAAAAATAGAGAAATGTTTCAACAACGTTAGCAGAGATGGAAAATTTGTCATTGGACTTATTGGTAAAGACGGGGGCTACTTAGAATTAAAGAATAGAAGAATACAGCTTTTTATTCCCCCTGGGGCAATAGAATTAGACGGAGATGGGGAATATGTGTTCGTATATGCAGACACAGTCCAATGTAACTTGGTATACTATGATGTTATTATCTGTGGGCCCCCTGGTCTTAAATTTAGCAACTCGGTACTGTTACGATTCCCGAAATCAAAGCCACGACATGAAGAGCGCGTGTTACAACATAGGACTAACAATATCATGCTTAGTGTTCAAAAATTAGGGGAACCTATGCTATGGAGGTCTCTAGATACAAGTGAAGATGGTTTATGTTTCCTGGATTACATCGACGTGTTTTAGCATTTGAACCACTTTACGGGAATCAAACCTAATCATGAAGTTATAAGTACTCCAAGCACAGATGATCCGACAGAGGACGCGCGGAGTAGGACAAATCTACATTTCTGCTTTCTTGGAAAGATGTGATAACCGTAATTTGTCTTTGCGTGTCTTTTGTAGTACATATTCGGCATTAATGGTATTTAATAATCCATTGTTTTAGACATAGGCCTATATTGTTCTATATTTTAGAAAACTAGTCTAATAGGGCTATATAAATGAAGATGTTAATATGAAAATTAAGATTTACTGATGACCTGTTTAATAACAGTATAGTACGGCAATATTCATTGTTAAAAGTGCAAATAGATATAAACAGAATTGAATTGATGGAACAAATTCACAAAGCCATAAAATTGGAATGTTCAGATTGGCCGTTAATCGGTATCTGAAGTGCTCAGAGGCTATTGAAATATAGTCTAAATATACTGCATACTATCGACCAATAAAAATATAGGTTCCAGTCCGACCACAATTCTCTCGGAATTTTGATCCATCCCGATGATATCTTGTTTTGTGTGAAAAGTGCACATAGATAAACCATGGATGAATTAGATAAACAGAATTGAATTGATGGAACAAATTCACAAAGCCATAACAATGGAATGTTGAGATTGGCTGCTAAATGGTAATGTCAGTTTGGACTAGTTCCAGCTAAAAAAATACTATCGACCAATAAAAATATAGGTTCCAGTCCGACCACAATTCTCTCGGAATTTTGATCCATCCCGATGATATCTTGTTTTGTGTGAAAAGTGCACATAGATAAACCATGGATGAATTAGATAAACAGAATTGAATTGATGGAACAAATTCACAAAGCCATAACAATGGAATGTTGAGATTGGCTGCTAAATGGTAATGTCAGTTTGGACTAGTTCCAGCTAAAAATATGCTAGCCTAATTCATTGATTCTCCTAACAATAACGAGTTTCGTTTACTTTCATTTCGGAGTGCCTGCGCTTTAATTTTAGACTTCTTGCAATGTGTTCATAATGCAAAACATCCGAGCTTTGCGTGTTACAGTACAGTAAGGTAAGAAGTTGCTGTACACGTTAAAATACGCCAAAATTGAAACAAGTTTATTTTTGTATCTTAAAACTCTTTAGATTTTGCTTACTATCTGTCTCTTATACACATCTAGATGTGTATAAGAGACAGGTCTTGCCCTAGTTTTCACACGTTTCA